TAGGTGGATATCATCCTGTGCAGCTAGGAGATCTGTTTAATAACAGATATAGTGTTATAAGAAAGCTTGGATGGGGACACTTCTCTACAGTGTGGCTTGCTTGGGACACAAGGTAAATGCTATACAAGATAAAAAGCTTACATTGGAATTCATAAAACATGGGCCATTACATGTACATACAAGATTCCAGCTCAAGTTGACAAATTCGCTTTCAATTTCAGAAGTTCATAAAGAACTTCAATTTGATTTTTTTTATGTGACAATTTCAAAAAACCTCACTTTTTTATGCTCCAAAAAACAGCTTTACTAGTAGAATAATACTGAAAAATGCAGCTAGGAAAAATAAGCTTTGATGTACTTGTAGTGATGTGATATTTTAAGAGGTTTTTGAATTTTGAATTTTTTGCACATCATTGAAGCCAGATAGAAACTTGGCAAGTCTAGCTTGAACTTGCAAGTGGCCAATGTTTTAATGAAATCCAAAAAGGTGTATATGTACATAGATTTATATTACTCAACTGGATAAAGTAATAAAGAATTCATTCCTTAAGAATATATTCCTAAGGGACTTCTCCCGGAATTGCCTCCTTCTAAGCACTATAACTTTCTTTCATTTCTATATCTGTTCTATCATAGTGCCATGCGGTCCTCATATTCATATCTTTACATTATTCTATTACCGCAACCTAACATCTATTTCACCCCGACCTGCTCCCAGTCTGGCCTTATAGCTCAGCTGGTAGAGCATCAGTGTACAAATCCGAAGGTCGTGGGTTCGAATCCCAGCGAGGTCGGAAATTAATTTTTCCGAATTTATTCCTAAGGGACTTCTCCCAGAATTCCCTCCTTCTAAGCACTATAACTTTCTTTCATTTCAATAAAGAATTCATACTAAACCTTGATTTAGTTAGAGAAAGTTATCTATCTTGAGAACATTATATTTTATTGCTTGTTTTTTTTCAGAGATGAAAAGTTTGTCGCACTCAAAATTGTAAAAAGTCAGTCACACTACACAGAAACRGCTATAGATGAGATGAAACTATTGAGAACTGTATGTATTAAATTCTCCTGGATGATTCACAGAATGTCGAGGAGAATTTGGATTTTAATCACCTTAATCACTATTCTGTGTAAACTATAAAACATTTTTTTGACTTGTAGGTACATACTGCTGACCCAAAACATCACGGGCACCAGCATGTAGTGCAATTAACAGATGATTTTAAAATAGTTGGTATAAATGGCTCACGTATCCTTAGAATTCRTTGAACATATTTTATTTGAAAAGTTGTGCAATTATTTATCTGTGGGGCTTCGGGAGGGAGGGCGAGGGGACGGGTGACTTAGTTACTGTGACAGTGCATTGTGTGACATCTGTTAAATTTTCAGTTAATTATTACATTGTGTGACCACCCTAAAAATAGATCCTATGTGTAACACATTGTTTCACTGTTCTATGGCATTTTTTAATGATACTATCTATTGTGTTAYTTAATTGCATGACACTGCATTGTGTGACATTTGTTGTGTGACCAGTCTAAAAATAGATSCCTTGACTGATGTTTCCTCAGATATATGTATGGTTTTTGAGGTTTTAGGTCATAATTTGTTGAAACTGATTATAAAGTCTAACTATCGGGGTATTTCTTTAAGACTAGTTAAAAGCATTATATGCCAGGTTAGTATGTCACRATTTCATCAATTGAAAATAATTTACGGCTAATTGAAAAAACATAGTCTGATACTAAAAGGATATTACAAATGTAATAGTATTTCAAAATGGTGGAAATAGTGGTAAACTAGTGTGAGCTGCGTCAGTRTTTTTAAAGAAACAGTTGTGTAAAAAGATAAATTCCGACAAAGGATTAAYGTCCGAAACGTCGGTAAGTTATTTGACCTACTTAYTTACAGTGTTAAATTTATCTTTTTACAWAACTAATAGTATTTYAGTGTGCCAAAAGATAGTCTCCTCTCGCTTTTAAGGCTCTTTAATATTTAACATTCTGTATTTGTCAATTATTAATAATTGACAAATATAGAATGTACAAATATAATTCTATAATTATAATTTTAATTTATAACTTGTGACCAATGAAGTATTTTCTTTTTCTTTTTTTTCCAGACACTTAAAGGTTTAGACTACTTACATACAAAATGCAAAATAATTCACACTGATATCAAACCAGAGAATATACTTCTTTGTATAAGCGAAAGACARATACAGCAACTAGCAGCTGAAGCAGTACTGGCCAAAGAAACAGGGATTTATTCTCCTGCTCTTAGTATGTATTGATYGTTTTCACCCATTCCCATGAGATTCAAAAGATAAAAGACCGGCGGCCATGTTGGAGGAATGAACAATAGATACTAATGAGAAATCCTTTGTTAAAGTTCCTCCAAGATGGCCGCTGTGACGTAACATGCAAACAAGAATTTCATCTTAGTATGTATTTCATCTTCAACAAGGACACTCTAGGCCTGGGTCAAAGGYCGAACTTAATCTTTCGATTGTAATTCTGTTTGATTCTGTTCAAATTTCTTTTTATGACCACTCTTCAAGAGCTTTTTAAAATGTTTACCTTCAAATGGTAGTTTATGGTAAAAACTATGTGTTTTTATAAACACACAGGTATCAGTACTATAATATGTTTTAAGAGAATTGGAATTTTTTTTCAAAGTTGAAATTTAGTGCAAGAGAGGTGCGCTCCTAATGCAAATGAGATGAAAACAATGACTTTCGCATGTTATATAATAGAAACTTGAATTTGGTATGGCTGCAAAAATTGAGTTCAGCATTTGACCCTTGTCGTAGTTGTGGTCTTGTTGTTTTGTTTTGTTTTGTCTATATACTGTGGATTTTGGCTTGGGATTGGATTGACTGTTGTATTAGAGACTGAGTTTAAGCATCACGTTTACGGCTAAATAGGTGTACCAATGACGTAAGAATTTCGTGCCTGACCTTGTGCTTTTGGTAGTCATTTGAAAGAGCGACTTTTCACGATTATGGCAACCTCCAAAATAAACCGCTAACGCGTTGAACTGCAGCKTTAAACCACCAAAAAGCAGGTCACGTGATCTTTTCTGTCGTTTGCCGTGACCGTCATTCTTAAGCTCTCTAAAATCTTGAGATATCTACACGTATGGTTTAGATGTAATTCCTTATTTTTTTTTTCTTTTTTTCAGTAAGTACAGCACCGGCTTCTGTAATGCAGGTAAAGTCTTAATATCGACTTCTCATCACCATTCTTTGGGTTTCCTGTGTAAAATGCAGAAAATATGACAATTTWTATTTTGCTCATGAAATTACAGCAATCCTGTGAAACGAAAATCTCGAAAAACAAAAAGAAAAAGATGAAAAAGAAACTRAAAAAGCAAATAGAAAAACAAAAGCTACAACAAGATGAAATAGAGCAGTGCATGCTACAAGAAGCTGATGACTGCAACGACGAAGCATGCGAAACTATCTCAACATCACAAGAAACACCTCAAAATCACTCAGAAACCACAAACAACAGTTCTYTAATGGTACCCACTGAAGAAACAGAAATGTCGTCTGATACAGAAATACCAACAACTGGAACAAATAGTGAATCTAAAAAAGATAGCACCGAGGAACTAAGCACTAAATTAATGATGGAACAGTGCATTGTCTCTGATGAAGAAAAGCCTCCACWAAACACGTCAAATACAGGTAAAAATTGTCTTGGTACGATCATTCCATACCCCTACCTCCTGCGCCGGGGAAAATATCCTTTAGGGGGGAAGGGGTGATAATTAATTGCAWAAACTTCCTGTGTTGCGTACATTTATGTGTTGAGCAATTTGAATTTGAAATTTTAGAAACTGAAAAATCAGTCGAAAACGGCGAAAGTGATAAAATGGAAGAAGAGCCGCCATTAGACGAGAAAGGTATTGAAAAAAGACAATCACTGRAAAAAATTGCAAGCTTTAAAGGTTGTAAATTTGATGTAAATATGATGTAAGTGTCCAAAATTCTGTTAATTTAATGGAAATCATTTACATCAAATTTACAGAATTTTGGACACTTACATCATATTTACATCAAATTTACAACCTTTAAAGCGCGCGACTTTTTTCCAGTGAATGTCTTTGACGTTGTTGTTGTTGTTTCTGCTGATGCTGTAGCGTCTGCTCTTATTTCTGCTGCTGTAGTCGCCTCTTTTGCTGTTCTGATAATGCTGCATTTCTTCTTGTTGTTACAGGCTGTTGTTGTTGTTTTTTTCTGTTTTTGCTGTTGCTACAAGGTTATGTTAGCTTTATTGCTGTTTTTGTGGYTATTTTGTTGTTGTTGGGTGTCAATTTGTTGTTGTGCTACAGCTGTTATTATTCCAGCCATTGCCATTATGAAAAGAGCCATTCCCGACTATAACGGTCTCTCAGCAGGTGCAGTTACTTCACTTGAMAAAGAAGACGAAGTTCGAGGTGAAGAAGAAGCCGAACTCGACGAGARCGATATACGAGTGAAGATCGCTGACCTTGGAAATGCTTGCTGGACGGTTAGTTACTTCAGCAACTTTTAATCACCGTGTCCAGGCCGAATGCCTGCGGCACGGTTATAAAATGCAGCGACTTTATTTATTTATTTATTTTTTTCCACGTCGCAGTTTAGCAACCCCAAGGGACCCATAATCCAGAGTTTCAGGGTTCGATCCTCTACTGGAGCACGTCTGAAAAATTCTTTTTTTTTTTCTTTCAACTTTTTCTTTCTTTTTTTAACTGAAATATAGGTGTTCTAGTGATGTTAGATTTTTCTCGTAGCAATTTGTTTTATTAATATTTACGAGCCGCGTTTGCTAAATTTTAGAAACAAGTTGATACTCGAACAGCGGCGTCGAACAGAGGATCGCGGGTTCAAATCTCGTCTCGAGCACTTTTTTTCTTTTTAAATATAATATAGTTGTTATAGTCATCTTGATTTTCTGTAGATTTTGTTTAATAATTATTTTTGAGCCATTATTTTGATTTTACACAAAATATTATGACTCGAATAGCGTCAAACTTATGTTCGTGGCCTTGATTCTCGACTCATTTTATTCTTTCTTTTTAACTGAAATGAAGTTGTTATAGTCATGTTGATTTTTTTTCTGTAGGTATTCGTTTAACAATTATTTTCGAGCCATTATTTTATTTTTTACAAAGACTATCGTACTCGAATAGCGTCKAACTTAGGATCACACAGATTGACTGGATCACTTCTAAGCGATTCTTTTTTCTTTCCTCCTTTTTTTACTGAAATATACTTATTCTTATTTTTCCTGTAGAAATTTGTTTTACATATTTTACACGCAAGATCATACTTGAATAGCGGTGTTTGAACTGAAGATCTRGGGTTCGATTCTCGACTCGAGCAGCTTCTAAACACATTTTTGTACTTTCTTTCTTTCCTTAACTGAAAGATATACTCGTTCTTATTTTATTTCTAAAATCATTTTATGCAAAGTAAGCTTTCATCTTATAAATTCTCTGAGGATAATGCGAATGCAATCTGAATGCTAAATTTTCGCTGCAATGATAAAAATATTCAAAAAAAAATAAATAATAATAATAATAATAATGTGAAAAGATCATACGCAAAATCTATCAAATCGATGCCGGCGCTGGTAAAAATATATATTAGCGTAGCCAGGACACGGTATGTTCCACGAAGTGGAGTTCTTGTTTGAATTAAATATAACCGCCGACCGGTTAGCTCAGTAGGTAGAGCATCGGACTGTAGTGCGGGAGGTCGCAGGTTCAAACCCCGGCCGGACCAACACTCAGGGTCTTAAAATAATTGAGGAGAAGTTGCTGCCTTTGTCTTTCTCCATCTGCAAATGGTCGTCCTCTCGGATAACGACGTAAAATCGGAGGTCCCGTCTCTCTACACTTCACTCACTAACCTGTATTAGAGGGACGTTAAAGAACCCACACCACTGTTCGCATAAGAGTAGGGAATGATTCCCGGTGTGTGTGGCTAGGCCTTACTACTAACCCATACTAAATACTAACCCCTCATGATTGTAAGCCGCGTGGCTGCCAATTGCGCCTTAAAAAACAGCGGTCCGTGTAAAATGCTCTATACATGTGAAGCGCCTTTGAACTCAGAGGATATCGGCGCTATATAAATACCACATATTATTATTATTATTAAATCATAAAGCATTTTATTTAAGTATAATAGCTTGCTAAGGACACAATGGGTGAATAATGTTTTTAACAAAAATATATATAAAAAAATTAAATCATAGATATATTTTATAATACACTTCGAATTAATTGTGGTCATTCGGTAATCCTCCTTTCCAACCGTTACTTATCCTAAGGCATGGGATAGAAACGAGCGACT